CTAGTAACGATCCCTTGTACTGAAAGGTATCTATAAGCAGTAAGCTGGCAACGATGACATAGCATGCAGGGCAAAACATCATCTCTCTCTCTCTTAATGTTTTATACTTATTGTTATTTTTTGTGATAGGAACAGTGGGAAATTTCTAGTCATTTATTTTTTGCTTTTGGGCCTATTTCATGAGTTCATGACAGTAAAAAAAAAAAAAAAAAGAGAAATTTTTTTTATCTAGTAGTTGTTTAAGGGGTTATGAAAGAAAATGCATGAAATAGTTTAATGTGTTTGAAATTTGGAGAGAAATGAAATAAAGTATGTTAGAATGGGCCATTTTGCCAATGTGTGCCCTATAATTTATCATGTAAAAAAAAAATCCGATGGTATAGAAAAGATGATATCCAAATTCATTAAGGATTTGTCTAAAGAGGTGCTCATTGGATATTTATTATAATATATTTTAGGTATTATATTTTAAAAAATGTAAGATTAATTAGAAAGAATGAATAAGTATAATGGGAGGGTAATCATTGCACTATATACATATATATATATATATATATATATATATATGATATGTTAGGTGAATTTTAAATGTGTTAATGAATGCTCTTTAAATATCCGTTAGATAAATCAATAGGTGTCAAAATGGGTGATTTGGACGAGTTTGGGTTGGGTAAAATGGGTAATAGGTATAAGTGAGTCAACCCATTTTTACCCATTTAATTAGATGGGTATAAATGGGTAAGTCAAAAAATGAATTGGATAACCCAATTACCCATTTATTTTAAGTTTTTGTAAACTCATTTAAATTCATTGTTGCAAACTAAGTTATCAATTTATACCGCTCTTTGTATTCATCATTAGTTTTAAATTTTTACCTGTAATGCTCAATAAGCCTAATTACCAATTTTTTTTCCATTTATACTCTATGTCGCAAAATTACATACTATTTAACAATTGAATAATAAGAATATAAAAATTTGAACTAAGTACTATAAAAGTTAATATAAAAATTTAATCCAAAAATTTTGAATTTCTAACATTTTTTCATATATAAATTTAAATTTTTATTTTAGAAAGATAAGAAAAAAGGCTAAAACTTATCATAAATTGGTAATGCTGAAAAATGAGCAAGTTAACAAATTAAGAGAAAATAAAATAATAAGATAAAACCATCAAATAATAATAATAATGAAACAAAAGTAGTTAACATCATGACAAAATGAAAAATCTGGAAAAAAAATGGGTAGGAGAAGAGAAGAGATTTGGGGGAAGAGAATTCTAAATGGATTAATTGGGTTTGATGGATTACTCAAGAATACCCATTTAAATGGGTATTCTCATTTATACCTATATACAGAAATTTAAGATACCCATACCCATATATTCATAAACGAGTATGGGTAAATTTAGTTAAGTGGGTTGATTTGCCACATAAATCCAATCATTGAGTCCAACTTTTTCAATGATGGTAAGATTGTTAACTTTAAATAATGGATAAAAATATTATTATTGTAAGGCAAAAACTTGGGTAGACATGATATTGTCATATTCATAAACTCAATGATTCAAATTATATCACATTGGGTTTGTTTTGATAGAGTATTATTTGAAATATTATTTGAAATAATTACTGTAGCACTTTTTATGATGTGATGTATGTGAGATAAAAAGGTGGATTGGGAAATGTGTTTATGATGCAAGCGAAATATTATTTGAGATAATTGTGCTATCCAAAATTTGATGAGATGCTAAGACAAAGCACAATGTCCCTCCTATCTACTAGTAGCTGTGGATACTAATTCAAACAGAAAATTTTAGGGACAAATTTTCGCTTCAAATTGAACTCTCAATTTGCACGAGTCCTCGGTGCGTTCCTCTAATCAGCCACAATATTCCTAGTTGTCTGCATAATAGTTTTCCCACGACACAAAACAATCTTCTAGAGTATTTCTTTCCCTCCATTCAAAGTCTTCCCACAAAACAGTTTCCTATTTCTTTCCCTCCATGGTACAGATCGTAATATGCATTTATTGCCTTTCATCTTTTCTCACACTCTTCCCGTTTATTGTGAGAAAGAAGTCTTAACTGTTTGCAAAGATTTGACATCCCTCCAATTCTATTTGGACAGTATATTATTTGAAATAATTATTATAATATTTTTTATGATGTGATGTACGTGAGATAAAAAGATGATTGAAAATATAAAAATGTGAATTGAAAAGTATATTTATGATATAAATGAAATATTATACATATGAATTTAAAGCACATGCTTAGAACTTTGCTTGAAATTTTTTGTAAAAGAATAAAGCTTAATCAGCCTTAATGAGAATTGTGAATTTAATTACCATTGATAATTGCAAAACGAGATTGATCTGCAATTCTTTCATGGGAAGAAATATTTTTCCCTCGAAAAACAAGAAGTGAAAAGGCAAAAAAGGACTATTCAGTGGTACACAGCCTATGAGATAGGAAGAACGGAGATATAGGGCAGAAGGGGGCCCTTTAGTCTGAATGGAATTTAGAATGAGAAAGCTATAATTAAAGCAAAAGTTGAGTCACTCTCCAACTCTGCAAAATTTCTGAGCTCCAATTACACATCCTTCTTTATTACACCACCCACCCATATCTATTCTCCACCTACTTTTATTACTGCTTTTCTGCAATTCGAAATAAATGCAGATGGCACATTTGCAGCAGTGAATTCCCTCTTTCCATGCACATTTGCAGCAGTGAATTCCCTATTTCTATTTGGATTGTGGATTATTTGAGATATTTTTACTGTAACACTTTTTGTGATGTGATGTATGTGAGATAAAAAGTTAATTGGGAAGGTAAAAAGGTGTATTGAAAATTGTAATGATGATGTAAGCAAATAAATTTGGGAAAATAAAACCCAATCCAAACAATTCGTTCACCTAAAGCAATTAAGGCATTGTTTAGACTGTCACCTTTAAAAAAAAAAAAAAATCATTTCCTATAAATAATTTCTAAATATATTTTTAATTATTTTTTTATCTTACAGATATTACATCAATTATTCTCAAAAAACTTTCCAAAAAATGTAATCGAAACGCGTTCTAAACATTCAATCTGAACTCTAATGGCTAGCTTGGAAGATAAGATGTAACTAGAAAAAAAAAAGAAGGGAAGAGAAAGGTAAATGTTTTCAATGTTTGGGAGATTTAGTGAAATAGAGAAAAAAAAAAGAAAGCAACTAATTTGGAAGGAGAAAAACAACAGCTATAGTTAAAAAAATTTTCCATCCCAAATCGGGCAGAAAGCAAAGGAAAGCCGCTGAGAGCCTACAAAAAATTTTAAAATTGCCCATTCTATTATTAAAAAGTTATTGAATGAAATTTTTATTGACCGATATATCTAAAATCATTTTCTTTCTTTCATAAACTCCTAAACAACATTAAAATCTCTTCTGTTCTGTTCTGTTCTTATCCTTTCTTTTTCTCTCATAATCTAACCTTTCTCTTCTTTTCTTTGCTATCCTCAACTGCCAAACTAGCTATAAAGTGGGAGTTATATCCATCCCATGTTTTAATTTAAGGGGCCCTAAGTATCATTTTGGAGACCGAAATGCCAATAGATCACGTTCTCAATGGCTCAAAGGGACTCACCGTGCCTTAGATTAGCAAGAAGGAATTGGAAAATTAAAAAATAAAAATAAAAGGTCACTGTATTGGACTCGGTTATCACTACATCTTGTCCACCACAGTTACATTACTTGCCAACCAGTAATCGATTGGGAAAATTGAAAAGGAAATGCTCAGAATCAAGCATAAAACGACTTGGGCGAGCAGAAGCTGAATTGTCTTTCTGACGTGTGAAGTTGACGCAGCTCTTTTTTTTTTTTTTTTGTGAAGCAGCAGCCCTTTGTTGGTGGGGTTTATAGAAGCTCGGTATCATTATCCTAAAGTTCATGCAGACGAAATTTGAGAATGAAGCAAGCCAAGACAATCAACAATTTAAAAATAGCTAACATCACCAAAAGTGGCCTTTAGTGACTACGTACAAAACGGATGCTTACCGCTACAAGCAATTCCCCATTTCCCTGCCCATTTCTTTATTTTTCCAAATATAGGAAGAAATAATTCTAAACGTTTGAGAAGGGAGAAATACGGAATACTACCTAATACCGTCACATCAAAAATTATTTACGTGTGTGTATGCGTGGATTCTTTTCTACAGGCTGGCTCAACTTTATATATACTGTAAGTTGAAGCACTTGGAATTAATAAAAATACATCTCCAAGGCACTGTGCATTTATCATGATTTTTTTTTCTCTCTTTTCATAAATTTATTTTCCCATGCATTAATGACAAGTTTAAGAGAGAGTTGGTGAGAGTATCCACATGGGAGCAATTTTTCAAAGATAAATTATTCCGTTTTTCGTGAACACATTTTTCAAATACCTTTTTATTTCACATATATCAAGTCGTTACAGTAATTTTTTTTATGAAAAATTCAGAAAAATGCAATCCAAACAAAGCATAAAATTTTAATAGGCATCTAAATTGGCAAAATATTACTTGTTACTTCACAGTGTTAATGAATTAATTTTATATGCACTAGCATTATGTACATTAATAGGTGCCAACACGTATCGTATGTATAAGAATTGAAATTCAAATTGTAATTAAAATTAAGTAATGTGCACCCATGCCCGTTAATGCATCCATCCATCGCTTCTATCTAATTAATAATAATTCGGGGTGAAGAATTAAAGAAAAGTTGAAACCTTACCATTTACCGGCCAAGGCTACAGGGGTAGAAACCCTAGTAGGATATTGGGAGGGAGCTACTGGACTGCTGGCGCCACCCGTTTAAACCACGGTAAAGACTGAGAACCACGTATGTGCCACATCGGAAAATATTCACTTACTATATTCAGCCACGTGTCCAACTAATAAAAGCGGCCCCCACACCCTCCTCCCCCCACTTTTTTGCCGTTATTAAAGAGTCTCTTGTTTGGGTCTCAGACAAAGAAAAAGAGAGGAAAAAAAAAAGCAAAAGAGAGAGAGTGCGAGAGAGAGAGAGAGAAACAGAGAGAGAGTGCTTTAAATGCTTCACTGACTCACCGTTGCCGGAAACTTCAATTCCCCCCACTTTTCACGGCGACTTTTCTGGCGTCGCCCTTCTCGAAAAGTCTCCCTTACTCCTTCACCTCCGGCTGTCTCATTCCCGGCGGAAATCTCAAAACCAGCAGAGCTGACATTCTTCGCTTCCTTCCTTCAGTCTCAGATCGAGAGCTCTTTTTAACTATTTCGAAGTCCATTTCAGTTCGCTTGTTTAGCTTTAGTACCAACATTTGCGGGAGGGAGGACATTTGTTTTTCTCATAATAACTGCTTTATTCCAGTTACGGAGTTGTCTAACATCGCCATTTTTAAGGTTCGTTGTAGCGCCATTGCTCCTTCGCTTGAAACGTGGTAGGATGACTTTTGCTTGTCTTTTAGGGTTATAACTTTGATGTTGCGCACCTTGTTCGCTCGATTTTTTTGGGTGATTTTCCTCTCGTTTTTGCTTCTCATTTCCAACCGGTAATTAGCCGTTAGGGAGGAAAAAGAAAGAAGAAAGTAGGCGCATTTTGGTGTTTTAAGTATAGACTGTAAAATGTGCTATAAGATTTTGATTTTTGCATATGAGGAAAAGCATTTTCAGCTAATATCTGAAGTGGTTTTACAGGTGTCTTGCTTCGGACATTTTTTTGTGGTTTTTAGCAGGATTCATCTTTGTTAATTTTAGTCAGTACAGAAGCTAAACAATGTACTGCGTCTGATTATTATGTTCGCATATATGTGTATTTTTTTTTACAGAGTTGTGATGGAAATATAAGAGGGGGCATTGGAATTGTATTTGTTGAAGTGGGGATTGAAATGAGAAGGCTTCTGCTGTGTTGTGGTTTGGCACTTATCTTGGTTGTTTTATACCCCATTTCTGTGAATGGCTTAAGTCCGTCAATGAATGACGATGTTTTAGGACTGATTGTATTCAAGGCTGATGTTCAAGATCCACAAGGAAAATTGGCGTCCTGGAATGAAGATGACGAGAGTCCCTGTATCTGGAATGGTGTCCAATGCAACCCCAGATCCAATCGGGTCTCTGAGCTTGTTCTTGACGGGTTCTCTCTTTCAGGAAAACTAGGCAGAGGCCTTCTTCAACTCCAATTTCTTCATAGGCTTTCCCTGGCAGACAATAATCTTACAGGCAGCTTAAGCCTCAGCCTTGGCCAGCTTCCTAACCTCAGGACTGTAGATTTGAGTGGTAACAGTTTATCTGGACCGATTTCAAGTGATTTCTTTCAGCAATGTGGGTCTTTAAGATCGTTATCTTTGGCTAAAAACAAGTTTTCGGGTCAAATTCCTGCAAGTTTGAGCTCGTGCTCAATGCTTACTTCCCTGAATATCTCATCCAATCAATTTTCAGGGCAGTTACCCGCGGGGGTGTGGTCTATGCGTGCTCTTAGAACGCTTGATCTGTCTGACAATATGCTGGAGGGTGAGATTCCCAAGGGCATTGAAGGTTTGACCGCTTTGAGAGCACTAAACTTGCGTAAGAATAAGTTTGTTGGTGAAATTCCTGATGGAATTGGAGGTTGTATAATGTTGAGGTCAATTGATTTGAGTGAAAATTCTTTGTCAGGAGCGCTTCCCGGCTCAATGCAGAAGCTTACCTTATGTAATGATCTAAGTTTACAGATTAATGCATTTACAGGCAACATGCCAGATTGGATTGGAGAAATGAGAAGCCTTGAGGCACTGGATCTCTCTGAAAATAACTTTTCAGGTGGGCTTCCAAGTTCAATTGGCCAACTTCGCTCGTTAAAGCAGTTAAACATATCCACCAACACCTTTAGTGGCATCCTGCCTGATTCTATGAGCGGCTGTGTAAACCTTTTGGTATTAGATGTTAGTCACAACTCTTTGAGTGGCAACATTCCTTCTTGGATTTTCAGATTGGGTTTACAGCAACTTATATTTTCAGAAAATAGATTGAGCGGGACTATGGACAATGCTTTTGCTGCATCAATGGAAAATTCTCGCCAAAAGGTTGTTGCTTTGGATATCTCGCACAACAATTTATCTGGTGAAATTCCTCTAGCCATTGGGGTTTTTAGTAGCTTGCAAGTTTTAAATTTGTCCAAAAACTCACTGATTGGTGGCATTCCATCAAATATTGGAGAACTGAAGTTGTTGGATATACTTGATTTGAGTGAGAATCAATTAAATGGTAGCATCCCTTTGGAAATTGGACGAGCTACATCTCTTAACAAACTGATCCTTGAGAAGAATTTTTTGGCTGGAAATATTCCTACATCGATTGGCAACTGTTCTATGTTAACCTCCCTGTAAGCTCTCTGCCTTAATTCTTTCCTTTGTGCGTTTCGTTAATGATTATGCCTTTAGTTGTCCGATTCAATTTTTGATTCAATCTGTGAATCTATATGGAATTAAGTTTTGGGCTTAATGCTATAGCTTGGATGGAAGTCAGAGAATTCAGACGCTATATTGCCTGGTAACTTCGTTTATGATCAAAAGTATTTTGAGATTTGACATCTTAATTTCGAAAAAGTTTCACAATTTGCAATAATATCTTGTCAGCTAAAAGTATTTTTTGAGATGCTATATCAACATTTCTTTCGCTTTACAGTAGGTCTAGCTTATTATTTTTCCAATTAATTAAATTCATTCAATAACTGCAAATTGCATTGACTTTGTTATAACTTGTGAATCATGAACTTTGTCTTTTAGCTTTCCTCTGTTTTCCTAATAGTGGATCATGCTTGGATATGCTTCTAAGTCTTATCTGTTGCTTTTACCAAATTTGGCAGGTCACTGTCACAGAACAATCTGACAGGCCCTGTACCTGCAGCCGTAGCTAAACTTGCGTACCTGCAGTATGTGGATTTGTCTTTTAACAAACTCATTGGAACCCTTCCAAAGCAGTTGGCAGATCTTGGCCGCCTTCTTTCCTTCAACATTTCACACAACCAGCTACAAGGTGAACTACCAGCCGGGGCTTTTTTCAATACCATATCTCCATCCTCAGTATCAGGCAATCCAGGACTTTGTGGTGCTTCAGTCAATAGAACCTGCCCTACTGTCCTCCCAAAACCTATTGTACTTAATCCCAACTCTTCTGATTCCCCTCCGGGCTCAATTCCTGAAAAATTCGGTCATGAAAAAAAAATTCTCAGCATTTCTGCCCTGATTGCCATTGGTGCAGCCGTTGTGATTGTCGTTGGCGTAATTGCTATCACTGTGCTCAATCTTCGTGTACGCTCTTCTGCATCTCGTTCTGCAGCTGCTCTCACGTTTTCTGGGGGTGATGAATTCAGTCATTCTCCTAGTACAGATGCCAATTCAGGCAAACTTGTCATGTTTTCTGGTGATCCTGATTTCAGTACGGGGACGCATGCTCTGCTCAACAAGGACTGTGAGCTTGGACGGGGTGGATTTGGAGCTGTCTACAGGACTGTTCTTAAAGATGGGCGCTCAGTTGCCATTAAGAAACTTACTGTCTCGAGCCTAGTCAAGTCGCAGGATGATTTTGAAAGGGAAGTTAAAAAATTGGGGAAAGCTCGTCATTCTAATCTTGTGACGCTTGAAGGTTATTACTGGACTTCATCACTTCAGCTTCTTATATATGAGTTTGTTTCCGGTGGAAATTTGTACAAGCGCCTTCACGAAGGATCTGGCGGAGACTACCTGTCGTGGAACGAGAGGTTTAATACGATTCTTGGGACTGCCAAAAGCTTGGCTTACTTGCACCAAATGAACATTATACACTACAATTTGAAGTCAAGCAATATCCTGATTGACAGCTCAGGTGAGCCCAAAGTTGCTGACTATGGATTAGCCAGGTTGCTGCCCATGTTAGATCGATACGTTTTGAGTAGCAAGATTCAAAGTGCACTTGGTTACATGGCACCTGAATTTGCTTGCAAAACTGTGAAGATAACTGAGAAGTGTGATGTGTATGGATTCGGGGTTCTGATTCTGGAAATAGTCACGGGGAAGAGACCGGTTGAGTACATGGAAGACGATGTGGTAGTACTTTGTGACATGGTCAGAGGAGCACTGGAAGAAGGCAGGGTGGAGGAATGTGTTGACGGGAGGCTGCAGGGGAAGTTTCCGGCCGAGGAAGCAATTCCAGTAATGAAATTGGGATTGATTTGTACATCTCAGGTGCCTTCAAACAGACCGGACATGGCAGAAGTGGTCAATATATTGGAACTGATTAGATGTCCTTCTGAAAGCCAGGATGATGAATTGGGATGAGTTTAGTAGAATTTCAAACTTCAAAAAGAGTGTGTTAGTGATAGCTTGTCCGGGGAGAACGAATCCGGTTTTGTTATCTGACTATAAGAAAATCTTCTTCTTAGAGATTCTTTAGTCTCTTGTTGTTTTTAGGCATCTCTTGACCCTTTAGTTGCATATTTGCAATCTCTCCTCTTTTGTTCCGTTCAATCACCGGATTCATTTTCGCCGGGTTACTATTTAGTGTCCCATGGGATGTCACATTACTTTTTCCTATTGGCTTCCTACCTCATCTTCATCTCTAACTTTTGGAGCTTGTTTTGTTTATTTATTTATTTTTGGGTTCTGCAAATAAATGTCAAACAAGATGTATCCTCAACCACTCGCTCTCCTGGTTAAATCGATAATGCGGACAGGACAGTTGCAGTTTTCATCCAAGTTGGCCTTTCATATTTTTCCTAATCGTCAGAGCTTGAATTTGCGTCCAATTTGTCCGTGACAGCAGTGGTCTTTCTAACTAAACGATTGGATGCTTCCGGGCGACAGGTCAGAGTATAACTCACCAAGTCAAAAGTGAGTTGATAGTTTCGAGGGTTCTCAAAGATTCTAAGCTCCCTTATCAAAGCAGGCAGTGATCTAAGTGATGATTATAATAATTAAAAGAGGGGCAAAAACAAAAGTGAAAAAAAGCTGAAGCTATAATGCGACGGAGGAAACAGTCAGGGCAACTTGGATGTCGGAGAAGCAGCACTCTTTATTATTTATTTTGCCAGCTATGTCTTCAGGTATTCGCAATTGACTTCTTTAAAAAAATTCATATTTTGTTTCTTTCCCTGTGGCCATTTGCACCACACTTCTTTCAAGGGCTCTTTCTACCTAATCATGGCCTCTTCCCCAGTTACCAAGTGTCACGATTTGTCATGAAGTAAAACATGCAAATTGGCTATGTATTTTGGAAATTTGGTCTCAGTACCGTCTCTTTTTTCTTTTTCTTTTTTTTTTTTTGCTTTGGAAGAAAGAAAAAATAAAACTTAATTGCATTTGATAGTAATTACATCACTTTAATTGAAAATGTTCGACCATGTGCAGTGATAACTAATATGAGTTGTCCCTAAGGACCCGATAATGAATGTTGTTGGGTCCAAGAACCTAACATTTGGCAATTTTGTAATCAACTAGCCACATGGGATTGTTACCAAGACTCCTTTTTTTTGTTTTGTTTTGAAGAATTGATTACCAAGAAACTTCTTCATTTTTATTCCTCATCTAATCATTTGGTTCTCTGGTTGCTTGAGTGATCAATACTCCTAACTCTCATTGCTCATTAGTCATTATGACTCTAGCGGCCGGTCATTTAGTGAAATTTTACTCCGATGTATACAAAATTGCATTATTCGGAAATGCGCTGGTGGTTGAAGACAATAATTGGGGTTTAGATATTGGAGTCTGATCAATGCGGCCTTCAATTACCTTAGATAGTTGATATCAATGGAAAACCAAAAAAAAAAAAGGGGTAACAGCGAATCCAAAAGTTGTGGAGTTAAAGACGGGGGTTCTGTTTGACTGGGGGGTGCTTAAAGAAAATAGAATCGAATCGAAAGAATAAAAAGCAATCTCAAATGTAGAGAAAGGTAATGGGCTCAGAGCTCATGACAGGGGAAGGACGAGAGAGGAGTCTGCTGAATCAAGAATCATCATCATCATCATCCGTCCACCCAACACTACTGCTTTTTTGGTAGCACCATGCGCTTTACTGAGAGGAGACCAAATGATACCAGATGAGCCCTTTTTTTTTCCCCTGCTTTTTGTTGAGCACATTGCAGTGGGGAAGGAATATAAATGATATAACCCATAAAATGATGTTGGAATTTTGATACAAACATGTAAAGCAATTGGGGAAGACAGACACTACTGTGTGCATGTGCTGATAATCATCCCTTCCCAAATATACCCGCAGCCTAAAGCGTGCGTATGAATCAGATTGAATCCCAAGCTACTCTATTTAATACTCTAATTAAGCAAACAAATATCCTGTGTATTGCTTGGCTCAAAAAGCCAATGTGCAGCAAAAGAATTTGTTTTTTTTTTTTAAAAAAAACTATTAAAGCCCTTTCGTTTGAGGCGTTGTTCAATGTTAAAATTAACATTTTTTCGTGCATAGGATGAGAATGACATCAATTTTTTTTAGATTAATTTTGTATGTACTGTCAATGTATACACTATCACCGTTAGATATAGCTCATTTGTCATTCATGTAATCGTGATAGTGTATACACTGAAAATGTATATAAGATTTATTTATTTTTTTTCTTATAACTATTTCCTCCGTTCTTTTCGTTTTCTTGCTTCAAATCCATGTATAACCCTATTTTATCATAGCATTCCCATTAATGTGCACACCATATTTTGGAAAGCAACTATTGTCTACTTCTCATGACTCGTACGACCGATTTTCAACGTCTTTCAAAAGCCCAAGTGTAAAAACATCTTGCCCTCATCCACCGTCCTTGTCAAGATTGTTCTTTCCACATCTTTGTTTTTCAGTTTAAGTTTGTTTATCAGTAGTAGTAAAAGAATGTTAGCAAAACTAGTAAAATAGTCTTATTAGGTACATTTGGAAAGGGTATATTTGGAATTCCGAAAAGCTACAGGTAAATTCACTGGAGTAATAAATATCAAGGGATTTCAATTCTGACTAGTGTTTGGGTGAGGCTTTAAGAGGAGAGAGCGTGCAATCCTCTTGGGCTGGATACACAAAATCCAGTTTAAGAACCCTTATATGCTATGTTTTTCCCATAAAGTCCTGTCGATGTGCCTTGTTTGGAAGGCAAGTTTTTTGTCAAGTTTGTCTGCTACAAGTTTTTTAAAAACTTTAGCTACAGTAACTTCAAAAAACTTTTCAAAGTTTTTAAACTATACACTTCAAAATATATATAAAAAAAAAAACACATTTCAAAAATTTTTTAAATAACTTCTATAATAAGTTACAGAAAAATTTTAGACAAACACCCAAAAAACTCACTTGTCAAACTGGCCGGACCCATTTTCAGGAGAAGAAGGGTAAAATACATTTATGAAAACATCGTACTTTTGGGCCGCTAACACCACCCTCTTTGATCTCCCGGCATGGGGTGAGATGATCCGACTGTTTGTTGTTAGGCTAAGCCCATTTTTGATCGAGCTAACTCAATTGCAAGAACTCAAACGCCGCCATATTTTCCTGAATGAGAACTCTTTACAGTTGAACACATGCGTTCGGACCCGACTTTGATTCCCGACGCTCCACGGTTTATCGCATTTGCCGTAGCTTCGCAGCCCAATCTCGGAGAACCAAGAGAAAGATGAACCCCTTGAATCCTTTAACTAAGGCATGTAGGCTCTTCAAAGTAAAGAAAGCTAAGAGTTACTTGACACCGGCAGCAGCATAGCATATAATTTAACCACAGTTCCATGCTTCATTAACATACTAGACTAGAGACCACGCATAGGACAACAAAAGAGGTGAAAAGAAAAGACTTTCATATTCGTCAAAAGAAATTCCCCCCAAAAAGGAAAAAAAAAGGGTTTTAAATGGACCAAAACTGTTGAAGCTGGTGCTTCATATAATTCCTGTACGTGATGGCGCACAAATTTGAGACAAAATTTTCTTCCATCCACTATTCCTAATCTTTTACATCTATTTCTCTTTGCCTTCTCCTGTCTTTCCCCGCTTGGAGGGTCATGAGAAAGGGTCTAATTGTGTCTTCACTGATCATTCCAGTCACTTCCCCACCCATTGGAATCAACCCCATTGGCGCGTCTACTTCCTAAGTGATTTCCACCGGGCGACTTCACTGTCACTTCTTCATCCCAGTCATCATCCCAGCTCTGGTCCCAACTTTCTTCTAATGTTTCCACGTTCCTTGATGAACCAGAGCCTTGCTGCCCCATCTCAAGTTCCTGGTATGGAACGCCATTGAGATGCCTTCCATCTCTCCCGATCTTGCAGCATGCCCACATAACTCCTATAAGTAGAGCTGTTGCAAGGAGTAGGTAGGCCCCATTTATGGGCTTTACATATGCAGTGTAAGAGGGGAGGCCAAGTGGAATTCGAACACCTCTTTCGATTACGCAAGACCAATTACCAGCATTTACTACAATTGATGAGCTTCCGCTAGCAATAGACGAGACATTGATCTGACACAAAACAACCCAATATAATTAATTTTGTGTACATGGGAGACTGAACGTGTCGAAAAGACCCCTCCAAACAGAACAATCTCATAAATATATTCAGTTTTTAGGTCTCCCGTCAAGCTGAAAAACTGTACCTTATCAAGGATATCCAAAAGTTCGAAGGATTACTGAGGATGCATACCTTTCTAACTTTGTGTGCCAGTATATCTACATCATTTTGGGATGAATTTACTGGAAGAAGTGTAACATTCAGTTTCACGGACCTCTGACCATCATTGTGGACAAGAAGAAACAGTCCACTGTTAGCTGCAAGTGAAACAGGATCCAGTAAACTCCTTGTCATAGAACTATATGTGTAAATACATCAATCTTGAACTAACTCAAGAGCATAATTTAGTTTTTCATTCTTAAAGAGTTTATTCAACTACTGTACGCTTCCTTCCTAAACAGAAAGCACTTAACTTACACCTTATGCAAATGCTGCCTTTCAGTAAAAGTAAATCAGCCAGAGACTTCCACTTTCCCTCTGCCCTACAAAGCACCATCCCTTCCCCTCCTATTCCTTCTGCTTGGAAAACAAGCCCCGACAAAAAAACGACAACTATGAACGCAGACAGAGATGGAGAGAGCCCGGAACCAAATAGAACCTCCCCTCCTCTCCTCCATTTGTAAAGAGAAACATATGCACAAAAAACTACACGTGGGAACTCACCGCAGAAATATATGATGATGCACAACCATGGGGAATGAGTGAGAAAGCTCGAGGTCATGAGAAGGACAAATTAAAAGCTAAAGTATACAAGAATTCCACACCATATCATGAACTCTTATGCTCGTAAAGTAGCTCGTGCTTACTTTCAGTAGTAAGAAAAAAGTAGCCACTACGGGTTATAGGAGGGGCAAGGCAGGTTAGCTATCAGTATAGAAGCAAGCAAGATTCTCCGAGTTCCCAGAGAGCAATGCTTAAGGAGTTTGCTAACGAAATCTTTGTGGTAAACAGCAGATGAACCTTGTAGATTAGGTGTGAGGGATGGCAGAATGTGAAAAAAAGATGAGCAACAAGATATTCATGAATTTTCTCAGCGCAGACAGTACATTAACAATATTGCATTTGAAGCCTGCCATAAGGGAGAACAATATTAAAGTAGCAAGAAAGCCTTGTTTTGCATTAAATTCAAACTCCTGAAAGACACAGGAAAATTCAAATTGCTGCTCCACGTTAAGATTTCTCAGTTGCTTGAGCCAGTGAACATATGATTGATCAGATTTCTTGCCTTTTCTATTCAAAAATCAAAAATTTTTTTGTCTTACTCTCTCAAAATTTGTTTGTTCAACCTAAGTGTTCCACAATAAAACTCTCTGACTAGGGATCTGCAGTGTTCAAAATTTTAATTTCCAACTCTTAATTGGAGTATTGATGAATTATGATTATCTACACAAAGTTTTTGAAAGATTAGCATGCTTTCAACACATTCTTCTTCTATACTCATACTCTTCAACTGCAGATGTTATTCTTGCTTTATGAAAACTAAGGAGAAATAATAACAAGAAAATTTTGGAAATTGACTTTTATCATAATTTTTTTTCCTTAATTTGATTTTCCAAGGCTAAACATTCAACCAAGTCTAAATTACTAATCTTTCTTTGTCCTTAACATTGTGATGGGTTCAAGCCAACTTTTATGTTCTATACAAGAAATTTCTTTGGGATTCTACATCACTTAACTTCAGCTTTTCAAGGCTGTAGAGCTCAGCAGCTGCAATTAATTCAACTTATAGTCTTTCTCCTGTTACTATCAACTAGAAAAGTCCCCCTCCCGCTCCAGAATTTCAAAGTATTAATTCCGACCGCTACCAACTAATGAAGCCTTCAGCGATCAATAGCTCCACAAGCAATAAATCTTGCTCTATGATGGATTTCCTGCAACCTTTTTTTTTCCCTGATCTTTTGCAATCTTCATGACTATTCACTACAACCTCTATCGTAACATCTAAATTCCAAGCATGCAAAAAAAGAGTTAACCTCTTTCAGACCAGTAAAATGTAAAATTTTAGAGGGACCAGACTTCCAGCAGGAAAGTAGCAGGCGGCTTGTTCAACTATCATACGTATATCCCACATCAATAAAAGAATAGCAATACTGTAATAGCACTGGGGCTTATACATTAAGAGAGAAATTACTCAAAACTCCAGATATATTTATCATTCATTCAAACATATTTACTGCAGCATGTTACTATGACAGTTGTGCTTTTGAGCACACAGAGTAACGTGTAAAGATCCCCTGAATGCTGTATGCAAACATACAAAGCTTGATTCTCACCCTAAAACATTAGCAAAAGGTGACGCCATCAGCTCTACCTGATACAAGGTTTTTCTTCATATAAATTTTTACCCAAAAAAAGGGTAACTACCCTTAGGTTCTTTCTATATGTTGATGCAGATAGCAAAGTTCATTGGAAATATAGGAGACTTGAAAAAAAAAATTAAAGGATCCACAAACAAAGTTCCTAAGAGGCATTTATTGCCCTTGGAGACAACCTAAGCAAAGAATCCAGTATAACCAGTTTCTATTCCTGCTCTAACCTGAAGTCTGAATGCAATCCCTCGGGAAGAAGGAACAAACTAGAAAAAGACAGTAAAAGAATAAAACAGTCATATGTCATTCTTAGGTCATTAAGGTCGCAGAAAAACAAAGTGACGCTTATGTGTTTGTATGACTCGCTAACTATAGCAAGTTTTTGTTCATCCCCCCACCCCCCGGCTCCTCCCCCTCCTGCAGTTTGAATGTGATAATTATCCTTGTGATGGCAAAATTCCATAATACAATTGGTCACGTTAATTACCTAGATCAGAGACAAATTACTCTAGTGAATGACTAATCGAAAGAAGGGCAACGCCAAAAAAATCTTCATCTTCTCCCTCAGTAACAAGCAATAGCTGGGAGTAAATAAAGCAGTAAAATTCCCATGAAAATAAAGAGAGTAAGGGGAAACGTGAATTACCATCTTCATCTTTGGGAAGAAGGCAGGCTGTGACATTGGTAACATCATCATGGCATTTCTGGAAATTCAAGTCACATGTTTCCTGGGCAACTACCTCTTTCTTTTTGGGTTCATTGCCCTCAATGTTATGATCCACAGATTTTGATTTAGCGGCTTCTGGACCAGGGCTCGGGGAAGGACTTGCCTACGCACAAAACCATACACATTTTTCAAAAGACTTTTTTAGAATATAACCACTTCACACCCAACACGCATGCAAATTAATATTGTTGAAGGCCGAAAAAGGGTACCTCTGTCTTGGGTGGATTGCCCCGAAAGTAACCATCCCCAGAATTTGATTTAGCAACTGCCGGACCAGGGCTCGGTGACGGACTTGCCTAAATACAAAACCGCATCGATGTTCTTCAGAAACATTTTAGAATTTAACCACTTCACATCCAACAAACATGCAAATCAACATTGTGGAAGGCCGAAAAAGGGTACCTCTTGAACGGGTTTTCGGTTGAATTTGTCACCTTGTAGGGCTAGGTTCCGCCGAGCATGAAATAGAGATGCAGCGCTTGATCGTTGTGGAACAGCCCAGATCAAATAAAGCAAGGACAAGAAAGTCATGATCTTCCAATGACTCATGATTTCTCTTCTGAAATTGATTCAGTAATCTAGTACCAACAATTATACATAAAGTTCGCGAAAGTTATGTGGTTTTTTCCAGATATGAAGAAGTCCAAGGAGTCTAGTTATAGGAAAGTAATCAAACATTTTATTTTAATTTTTAGTCGTCGTTTGGGATAAAAAGGGGGGAAAATATTAGAAAAAGAGTTTGGAGGAAGGGCGGAGGAATTTGCGAAGCGAACAAAGGATGCGAAGACAACCGTTGACGGACGAATAGAGGAAGACGAAGCATTAAAGAAGAAGATGACAACGGACCGCGTCCTGACTCCTGAGTCGGTCAGCTGAATTAAACACCTTGCACTCTTCCGAGTACTACGTATGAATTGAGGAAACAAAGAAATGGGATCAAGTGCGGTGGGGTCAGATTTAGGGGCTGCATTTTCCCTGTATTTTCCCAGTCATTCGTGTGAGGTATGGTTTCTATTCTTTAGGGGACTGTGCTGTTCCATTTCCATGTACTGGAATTCAAAAGCCTAAGATGTGATTGATAAATTTTGCTTTCTTGAAAAAAAATAAAGATGTGATGGCTTACTTGTAAACTGAAAGCACGACAAAACTAAACACCTAAATACCTTTCTGAGCTTAATGTTTCAACGCAAAAAAAAAAAAAAAAAGGTTTGTATGAGTCCGAAATTATCTAGACACATATCATGTGTAAATTACAAGTTTATATATATCCACGAGTACACATTAAGAATTGCTATAGATTGCATTTGTACTTTTTATTTATTTAATTAATTTTCTGATTATTGACACTTCAACTCTATCTTAACGATTGTCCAAACAAATTTTTTTTAAAAAAAAATTATTGCACGAAAATAGACTATGTGTTTTACTTAAAAATATCGTAAAAATTTCTTTTCAATGATGAACAAACTACTTTTTCAGTAGACGGTAGTATTAAAAAATTCTCAACACATTCGTCTTGTAACTTGCTTGGAGGATGAGATTAAGTTAAAAAAAATGTTACAGTTATTAAATGCCTTCTATGCAATCACCTTCGAAATTCGATATTCCTTCATCTTTTCTCGTCCAATAATAGTACTTAAAAAAAGGGGGGGAATAATTGCAGTAAAACTCGAAAAGTAAAGTGTACAAGTCCAGGGAGCCTCTTTCGTTAGCCGGTAGTACGAGGGAAACAACGAGAACTAGTACTTACTTTGTTTGTTTGGACCAAAACTTTTTAAAATATTTTTTCAAATAGATGGATTGTCGCATAAGATATTAAAAAAAATTGATAAAAATCATAAAAATTATTTGATTTTAAAAATTCCCGTATCTGTAGTGATTTTCAATTACTTGTAAATATAACTCATTGTTGTGACTTTCTTTTTTTTTTTTTACATAACATATCGTGATTTTTTTTAATCTTTTTTTTTTAAAGTGTACTCGGTATAAAAGCGGAAAAGACTCAGAATCGGACAAGGGGCACGGACGGTCCCAACGGTTTTGGCCATTTTTAACAGCGCGTAACTTTGATTACACACGACGTAACTTTGTTTGTACAACGTGTAACTTTAGTACAAAATTTTGCGTGTCTCACACATGGTGTAAAAATCGATGCACAACTTGTTATTTGAACCGCATAAAATTTTTTGGCCAAATCATGACCATTAACTGCTCAGGAACGGTCATACTGATGACCGTCCCAGCCCCATTTCCCTCAGAATCCAGGAACTTAGCGAAAAGCGGAAAAGAAAGAAGCAAAGTTACTGGTGCGCAGCAGCTAAGTTCAGGCTGTTCAGCCGTCACAGATCGTTGACTTTTGCCTGGTTTGTACTAGTAGTAGTAGTGGTGGTGGCGGTCGTCGTCGAAACAGTTGAACCAATTCAACTCTCTGTAGCGTAGTGCGGAGGAGTACTTTGGTAGTTTGGTGGGGGATCTTTCCCACTACTGCTTCTAACTTACAAACAAAACAAACGGAAACTCCACTCAATCTATTATTGCTACGCTACTCGCAGCTGGATCTCCTCCTAAGTCCTAAGTCCTAAGTCCTAAGTCCTATCCTACCTGAGAATTCCCCAAAAACACCACCACCAAACCGGGTCGTGTCTGTATTATCCATTTCTTTTTAGCTTTCACATCCGTCTTAAGTAAGTAGCAGCAGTAGTAGTAGTAATAGTACAAAATATCCCATCCACGTGGTGCTACTACTACAAGGACTAGTAGCATCAGCATAAAACATCAACGAAAAGCAAAACGCCACCCCGCCTTCCTGTCACTAAGTACGACATCGTACCAGCCGCCGCAACAGCCGCCGCCTTTAGGCTTTGTCCTCCCCGGGAAGACCAGCTCTGCTACTACTGCATCTCCTCAATTTTCCATCAATCCAAATGAAGTAGACCCTCCCCCCCCCCCCCCCCCCCCCGATTTTACTTCTGTGCTTTTTGTCAAATTCTTTAGGGTTTTTGGATTGTTTTTCACCCTCCATGGCCTCTGAAGATATGGGCCTAGTCCAAGCCCAACAACGCCTTGATAATGGGCTTAGCCACCCCCACCCCCACCTCGTCTTCCCGGACAACTCCTTCTCCTGCGGCCCCCCGCCGCCTCAACCTCCACGCCGTGTCTCCGCCGCCGACCACAGCTCCAAAGCTACTGCCACTCGGGAGCTCACTGCGGCCTTCATTGACCACCACCACTACTTCCACCAGCCTCCGTCCGCTGACTTCCGCCGAGCCACCTTCTCCTCCACCTCCCCCGCCGCCTCCGCCGCATCCCACCCGGACAATAGCCACAATTGGAACCTCGGCATCCGTGCCTCCGCCACCACCAGCGGCGGCGACGGATCCGAAGACGATGACGACGACGACGACGACGACGAAGAAGATGACGACGACGACCATAATAATGATGACGATGACGAAAACGAAGTTGAAGGGATTGCTGCCAGTAATGACAAGATCAACAAAAATAGCAGAGGCAAAATGGCAAGTCAGAAATTGAAGCAGCTGTCCTCATTTGGTAAGGTCTTTAACTATGAACTGCTAATCGCCATTAAGTTAGTTGTTTGAATTCTTTTCTTTTCTCTTTTTTCTTTGTGGAATTTATTCAGTTTCTTGTTAGGCTTGAAGGAGGGAAATGTTGTGGGGGTTGCGGGGCGGAGTGGAAATGAGATCAATAATAACTGCGAAATGAGGAATGCTGTGACAATAGCTGATGCTGATGGGGAGATGTACTACTCACAGTATCTGCAGGGGACGGCGGAGGTGGGACCACACGCCCGGCAGAAGGATGTTTTGGTGGTTGAGAATGGTTGTGGGTTTAGTGGAAGAAAGGAGGGTTCGTACTTGACTGAATCCGGGGACTCGTTGAGGGAAATTCTTTCGGATCCTTTGACGTAAGTTTCGTCCACCTGTGTTTGTTGCCACCAGACGAGTATATTAGCTTCTGTGTTGTCAAAATCTGCACTTTTGATTTTTAGTTGCGGTAATCTTTGTTGCTTATGAATGGTCTGGAATAGATGACCTCAATGAAAGCAGATTTTGGACAAAGTTGTTTATTTGCAACAATCAGCAGTCGCAGAATGGATAAAACTGTGAATTGGAAAAAGTTGTTCATAGAAGCTAAAATACTCAAATCTTTCTTTAATTTGTCAATTATTATTCTGTAACTTGTATCAATAGGTTGCCAAGGTGGAAGCTTGAATTAGAGCTGGCAATGGTACCAAGCCTCTCTCATTTTTGCATCAATGTCTTTGCTTAGGTCCAGCAATTGAGGAACTTTTGTTTGAGATTGGTGTGCTACTGTCTTTGTTTGTGATTGTGACTGTGTTTGTGCATGATAAAGTCGACGGTGAGTTTATTTGTGGGTGTGGTGAGCGGCTGTGGCTGTGCTTGAGACAGAGAGTGTTGAGTTGTTTATTGTTTTCTGTCCTTGCACTTTCCTGAAAGAAGGTATCATTGTAGACAAAGTACCAAATGTGCTTTTACTCCCAGATGTGCCTTATGTGGTCCAGTGCCCCTTCCCTCTCTTATAAGTACATTATTGAAGGATTATTTGCCTGGCAAATTTAATTGTTAAACTGCAAATGCACTTCAAGGATTTTTTTCTCCTCGCTCTACAGTGGAGCACTCATGGATGATGCAATGATACTGCCTTGTGGGCATTCATTTGGCAGTGGTGGGATACAGCACGTACTTAGAATGGTGAGTGTTCAAATGACTATCTTCTGTCATTTTGCTTGTACCAAAAGGCTGTAGCTGGGGTTTGCTAGTATCCTTAGTTTCATCAGTTGTTATCTTATCTGGAAGATCTAAATTTCTTAAGGTTGTTATTGAACTTCATTGCTTTTTAGCATGTTAGTTGATCTTTGGTAGGAGCTGGGCACAATGATGCATTGCCATACTGATTGTTGTTTGTGTTTGTTTGTGGTTTTCCTCTTCCAAAAAACACCATGTGCAGTTAAGTAAAAGTATACATTTAGAATGTATATATGTTACCCGGATGTCAGAGTCCATTATATTTTGAGCTGTATCGGGCATTGGAAGTTTGATTTATTTGCTATCTTTTTTTTTTAATTTTGTGTTTAATGTGATGAGACAGATAATATGTTAATTTGCTCTGAAAATAGCAAGCTTTTCTTATTCATTCTGCTCTTTTTGTACTTATCCAATTTGTCGTGTTGGGGGAGAAGATCCGCTGTCAAGCTTTCAAAGTTGAGATTCATTTGGCTAATCTTTTGACTATCTAGTGGAAATGGAGTTTCTTCGTACTGATCTAGCTTTCATCTTCTTTGATTCATTTCCAGAAATCTTGCTACACTTGTTCACAAGCAGTGTCAGAAGATTCTGTCTCCCCTAATCTATGTAAGTGAAGCTCCCCACTTTATTCAAGAGAAATCAATTTATTTTCAACTTAACTGGATTAAGATGCCTCCCCCCACTTTTTGTATCTCCCAAATCGCAACTGATCTTTATTGTGCTCTGCTGTGTAACTCAGTTAATGAAATCTTATTGTCTACATTTTTGGCATGACAGAACCTTTTTCAATTCGTGTTTTACTATTTTTGGTGTGGTCAACTTTTTAATTTTTTATGCTTGGTGTTATTAATTGTTCTTAGTTCCAAAAATAGCATTTTCTTCCTTGGTTTCTTTGGCATACAGGATTCAGGAAGATCATTAATGAGAGACACTGTAGAAAGTTCAATTTCAATAAAAATTTATACCTGATTAAAAAAAGGGTCTAAAAGCCATGAACTTGGTGGATCCTGCATAGTTGATGTCAAACTCTGTACGTAGTAACATTGCCGATACCACATCACATTTAACTAATGGGCTGAAGCCATTGTACTTGAAGTTTGATATCTTTCTTTGATTGGAGTTATATCCCTAATTGGCTGGTGGATGAAATATTGCTGTTAATTAGATCCCAGTTTAAGTATATTCTGGGCCAAGCACGTTACATCATACTTTCTGTTTTCTCAGAAATTGCATCAGAGCTACTGTAGGTAGATTTTGGACTAATACTGGATTAGACCTGGTTCCCTTGGACAAGCAGAATGGAAAAGAAGGATTTGTGTACCCAAATTTTGATTGTATGCTCTAAAGTCTTTTACTGGGTGTGTTTAAGGTCGGTTTGGGTGGTCCAGTTGCAAAGAAGAATCTGGTGAAGCTGAGTATTTATAGTTTACTGCCATGGTTTATAGGTAGTGATGGGGACACCTCAGACAACCCCTTTTAAGTTCTGAGTTGAGTTGACCATCACCCAGGTGCTTATTTTTTGTCGATTTTGTAGGTGACAGCAACCCGTTTCTTTTTCCTTTTTCCCTTCATATAGTGGTCATATTTGTTATCCAGGGTCCTGACAGTTTGTGCGTGACACAAAATTAGATCCACTGATTAATTTTTTTTTTCCTCTTTCTTTCTTTTAATTTGTAGCTGTGGTTGGACATTATACCATGCCAGGTGTCAAGTTTTAAATTGGTGATGTCATTGAGTTATGTGTAGGAAGTGCAATGAAATTGATGAAATTATATGATAACAGTTACAATAATAAAGCTGTTTGTTCAGTGCTTAATGGTAAACAATATGGCCTCCTTCTTGTTGATAGTACAAGCAAAGGGACGACATAAAGATGATAGTCAATCTTTTGAAACAATATCCAGAAAGTTCTTGAAGATTCCTCTTACCTATATTCTATTTGAGTAAATAGAGAGAAAATTTAAGGATGAACGATTAATAAGGTCAAGGAATAAATAATCTGTTTTTGTGAAGTTAAAACATTTTGTGACTTTGCGTTTGCTCTTTGTTCCTTTAGCTCTTCGCTTGGCTGTCCAGGCATTCCGTCGAGAAGAGGAGTTGCAGGTTCACCGTGCATCAAAAAGGAGGAGGGAACGGCATGAGCAGGTCTGTCCATGTACTTGATGTCGGCTAAAAGATTATGTAGAAGCATGATAGTCCTTGAAAGTGGCAAACTTATGCCTATGCTAGCAATGAAGGGTTTCAGTTGCATCTTCTCTAATTATTAATTTCTCTTGTAGGATAAGGGGACTTATGGTGATTCAGTTCAGACAGATCATCCAAGGGGTAGAGGAGTTCAATTTCCTTTTGCTGTGACTGACAGGGTTATTATAAAGGTTTTATTTTGTAATGTTAAGCTTTACTAGAACTTTGGTTAGTTTTTGATGATGTCACTCAGTAAGGAAAAATTGAACCAGGGTAACAAGAGGACGCCCCCACGTTTTGTTGGACGCGAGGCTATTGTTACCACACAATGTCTGAATGGATGGTAAATCTCTCTCTCTCTCCCTCCCTCTCCATATAACAGTTTGGCATTCCCAATTTCAATTTACTGCTCCTTCCATGATGGAAATATTTAACCGAGACTGCTCTGTTACCTTTCTCTTACTTACCTTGTCACGATGTTCTTATTCTTTTTGATGTTCCATAAACTTACATCACAAACTTTTCACTGCAAAGCATATCAAATGGAATTTCATGGGATTAATAAAATGAGATATCACTCGACTGGAAGATTTGGTGTTCATGTATATTTGCTTTTCCTAGCGATCCAGGTGATATCTGATACTGTCAATTTTTCATCTGAGAACAATGTAAGCCTTGATGACTTGTGATCTTGCCATTTAGTTATGACAATCATTTGTTGGGACCATCTTCAGAGACATAGCTTTCACTAGAGTGTAGCCTGAAGATTTAAGTGGTTATCGTGTTCAAGGATTTGCTAGCAGCTGGGATTTGTATGATTTTGATGTAATATGTCAGGAGTAGCTCTGTTCGTTTGTTTATTCAAGTTGGAATGCACGATGCATAAGGTATCTTAGATATCGTGGTTGTCCTGCATTAAAAAAATAGTAAGTGTGTCGTTTATTTGACGCAAGGCTAGTCAGGCTTTAAGTAAAATTCTCTATAATTACAATTCAGACCTGTCACCTGATGTCATCCAAATTTGCCAAGATGCTGGTAGTCAAGTTCCCAAAGTGAAGTTCTTAAATGATCAGAATTATTGGTCCCAACTTCACGCTACATTAAATTAATCTACCTTGAAAGATGTTGGTGTGGTTTTTGATAGGTTACTTGACTCTAGTTCCAAAATCTTTTAAAAGTAAAGCCTAGGAGAATTGCTATTTTAACTCCTGTAATAATTTTTGTGAAGGGTGTGCTCAGTTTTCCTACATCATCCATCTTAGTTTGAGTTAATTGAGTTCAAGCTGACTTCTTGACAAACTTCCTCAATTATTACTTGGTAACACCATAAGTGCAGATCAAGTGATGAAAGTCATTTTCTCTTGCATGTTTAGTCATTAGTTTTGTCTCAGGAATTACCAATGATAGAAAAGTTGTTCCAGATTATCAAAAAGAAAAGTTGTTCCAGGGCGAGCCATAAGGCACTCGTAAACTTTTCTTTGAAGTGAATTGTGTGTAGATCTTGGGTTTTTGTCTACTGGGAGTTTTCTCTCATTCTTGCTCTCATCTTCTGGGCAAGTTCTTGGGGAAGTTGGTACTCTTTTTTCCTTGGATATGTGTATTTCCTAATTCCCTCGATTTGCAGCACATTTTCAGTCTAAAAACTGGGTATTATTTTCTTGCATTACTTTCACAAGAATTAACTTTTTGCTACTGGAAATATCAAATGATACAGGTACGTAGTAAAGACGTTGGACAATGCTGAAAGTGTAAAATTGCAGTATCGCTCCCTTGCCAGAGTTCCAGATAATCCATCGCCAAAGCCTATAGCAACAAGTAAAATGACACCCAACTGGTTGTAACCAGATTGCCGCATGTAGGTTGTTCCATACATACCAAGTTTCGTATCTTCTAACGACAGTACTGGTTGAACTTTCTTAGCTGTAGTCTCACTGTTGTACTCATCACACGCCATTTTCTTATAGTAGGTGTACAGTATAGGAGGGACGTAGTGAGCAAACACGTTAGAGATTTGAACAACGCCATAATTCTTTGGCTGAAATACATCTTAGCATCATAAGTTGTACTTGATTGATGCTTGTATAGGAAAAGGATAGGTTAACATTATTGATCATGGAATACCGAAGAGCCCTCGAGTTGTTGGTGTATTCACAAGTTCACTAAATTCCCCATGCTTTGTGAACATTAACATCTCATTTTTTATACAAAAAAAAAAGGACAAAACGGAGCCCTCTACCTGTATATTGGGATGACAGAGAGTATTCTAGAGTTCAAAAGTCATTGTACTTTGTCCCGAATAAGTGAAGCGGTTAAAGGAAACTGAACAAGGACACAAGCATAAAATAAAATTGAAATATAAACCAGGTCAAACTCCTGCAATACAAGTTGAAGAGTTTCTAAGTTTCCTATTATCAGACCTCTGTGTATGCTATAGGCTAGCAACTGGACTAAAAACATGAGAAGGAATACAAGTATAATTAGGAACTCAATGCTAAAAGGGTCAAATGTATGTAAAAGTGATCAGCAGCAAGGTAAGTTCTCCATGGACAACAAGAAATTGCACGTTGAATAAATGGAAGCAGCAGCAGCTCTGACAGCTAAATCCCTCTCTGAGTTATCAGCTTTATGTAGTCTGCAAAAGAAATATATACTTATATATATATATACAAATCAACTGCAAAAGCTTAAGAGCAATTATAATATATAATATAGAATGCACAATTAAGAGCAACAAGAAGTTTAAAATGAACTGCAAGCTTTGCAACCCAAAATTTAACATCTAGGCAAGACTCAGATTTTGACGTACTACTAATGCCTGTTAAGACAGCCTGCAGCATTCAACGGCTTATGGAACAGCTGTAGAACATAAGCTGTAGAAAATCACTACCAAAGATCTGCCATATGAAAACTGCATCTAATATGCAATTTTGCCGATAGTAAGCAAGATTACAACTTGGAATTTTCTAGTATACTTTAACTAAATTAAAGTATAGTGACGTAACGAGTTAAAATGTAATCCATGGAAAGTAATTTTAAGGCAATTCATTAAAAAAAGTGCAAAATGCCAACTCAAAAAGATTGTGAGTTTGACTCAGTGCCAAAAAGATGCATACATATCACCACAAGTCTGGTTGGCTTATTGATTGCTGCAAGAAATCTCAGAGAACACTGTTAATGGGTCACTAAGCCTGGTGCCCAAAAGTGTCTTCTTAAGAAATTGCTTTTTCAAGGAACAATTATATGAATCAGAGAGCTGTGGAAAGATACTCCATACTGTAAGCCTAAGTTTCATGGAGATGGAGAACCAATTGCTGCAAGTGAGACCGCAACAGCAGACTCAATGTGATCATATCAAGAATAAAAGTCGAATTGGACAAAAAGGACTTAAACTGGAGATTCAAATTGAATAGATGGAAGTAGTTCACGCGTTTCTAATCCTGAACCATATAGATAGTGTTCCACCAAAGCACAGCTGGGCATTTAAGTGATGCAAAAATTTGGACTTCCCAACTGCTATATTCAGGTTATCAGTGAACGATAGGAAATGAAGTGGTGATTAAATTAAGTTTTAAGCACAATTCACATTGGCTCCTCTTTGGCTTTACAATGTCATGCATAGAAACGAGTGACTGTAACTCCTTCAAAAGAATTGTAAGAAACCGCTATTAAGGAACTTGTAGTTAGTACTTGCCCAGTTGGAAAATGAATGTCCTACTTTCTATAAACCAAATTTCTAGTGATAATCACTCCAGACGTTCTATTAGAAAGCTATTGGGTCTACCTGTTGCCCTTCTCCATCACAAAATTTCACTATTTTAAGTGATGTACCTACATATCTTCTTATTACTATATTTTCAATGTCTTCTCAATTAGTTTGCCAAATCAAATATTACATGCATTTTAAGACAATGGAGCAACCTGATGCTGTTATTTGCTCCAAAATGAACCGAAATAAGATGAAACGCAAAAAAATTAGACAGTAAGCAATGCAAACAATGTCATAATAAACAAAAGTAGAATCTAGCAACATGAATATTCACCTGCAATCGTTTTCAAAAGTGCTTGAATGCTGCAGATTATATGCTGTACTATATTTGAAAAGACCCGTGTCACAATGCAACTGCATTTCTGTTACTTGGTTTAACCAACTTTCCTGAAACAATAAGCGCGTTAGATAAGTTCATAACAAGCCAACTCACTGTAACTGTAAGCGGTGAGCATGGATGTCATGTTGTATTATCACTCCAATGCGACAAATATACTGAAGATTTTGGAAAAATTTTCTTATAAAGGAAACAAGCATTTGAAGCCAACCTACCAATTGTTTCTCTTCTTCAGACAATGTTCTATCCATCTGATCAAACAGTACATTCCATTTAGCACGATGTGCATCAGCAGCTGAATTGTGAGAATGACCAGCATCAGCAGTTTTTGAGTTGTAAGGAGCATTCTCTTGGACAGACAGGAATTCTTTTGATAATAGGAAAGGCAACTCAGTATGAATAACAGCCCGCACCCTCTTCTTACTACGTCGTAATGCTGCATGGATGAAGATAGGACATTAGAGGTGAATTTACTCCCAATATTGTGTTATTGCAGTGATATTTCAAGGAGTAAAGGTCCACCTGCAAGACGACCCTTGATGTCTTGATGAAGAAGTTCCAACCAATGGGAAGCAACGCTAGCAGCTGGAGATCAAAGAAATACCATGTTAAAATATTAATATACTCTTTCTTCTAGATGAAAATCGTAAATTGACATCATTCAGTTTGTTATTTGGGCCTTGTGACCTCACAGAAAATTCAACATGTAGCAAATTCTTAACAGAAAATTCTTAAGTGATACTCTTTCTTCTAGATGAAAAGGGTGCTTTTCATACTATTTTGGAGAACTGCATGAATGGCAGAGAGCATTTATTGAAAAAAAATTCATAAAAAAAGGACCAACCTTGAGCAGAGAGTGAAGTAACACTAGTTAGGTTTGCTGATTCCTCATTGGACAAGGAACTATTATTTTCTGATGTAATAGCTCCAGCAGAAGACAGCTTAAGTGCAAGTATTTCATCCTCATTTTCTATATTTGGGTGTTTGAAAGATGAATAACTTCCCATTGCTCTTGTGTCAACCATGCGGGATTCATGATCAACACCTGTCAGCACCGAGTACAACGAAGCTGAGTTATTAAAGGATGCCGGATATCCACTCATCTGCCTTCTCTCCAGCAAACTATTCATTGAACCATCTTCATGAGAGAGTGAATGTCCCTTAGTTTCTGCTCGATTTATGACTTTCAAGTCCTTCACTTCACTAAAGTCTTTTGTTCCCCTTTTTGTTTGGTCTTTCTGTCTACTGCCTGAGTGAGAATTCTCATTTCTTTCCGACTTCAGAAGAGCCTCAATTATAGAATGAACCTGCTTTTTGTTTCTCACATGATTTATGATCCCAGGATTCAGTTCATTAAGCAACCCACTAGGAGCAGCCATCTTAGCAAACCTGTCCACTTGTTCTTTTTTAGCAAGCTCCATCTTTCTCTTGATCCCATCGTTCTTGTGTTTTCTTCCACGTGGCTTTGGCATTGGCACTCCACCATGAGAAGACGATATGAATCCATTTTGTTTCATCTCTTTCCAAACCTTCATTGGATCTTTCTCCTCCAAAGGGCCAACAGAAGAACTACCACAATCAGAATCATCTATAGATTTTGAATGTCCATAGATTCCACAAGGATGAATTGGCTCCTTGTTCATGGTGAAGGTAAAGATGTCTCCTTCATTGAGATCTAAGCCAAAACCTCTTGAATTTAACAAACTCACATTACATTCCTCATTGTTGGGAGCCATAGCATCATCAGCAAGCACATTGTCGGGGGCACCAAAGTTAGCATTGAGGTCTATTTCTCTGGTTGCATTGTCAACTGCGAGATGTACCGCGTCCTTTGTTGTCCTTTCTGCACCAGCAACACAGCGTTCCGTGACCTTCAGTTTCTTAATTTGGGGGAGTTCTTTTATGCAATTATCAAGTGCAGACATAATAATTCATTATTTCGATTTCCAAAAACTTACATACCACTCTGCCACATTTCCACCCTACCAATCTTGTTAAGTTACCTAAATTCAGCACTGAGAAGATACCTGACAGTACAAAACTCTGAACTGGTGAAATTTCTTTTGTTATCTCCCCGGTAGGAACTTAAGGAACGATGACAAGAGGCGTAATTGCCGAAGTCGAGCAAAAACAAACATTTGAGTCAACCTAAGTTCCTTTAACAAGTAGATTCCCACCAACCCCAAAAAACAAATCCTAATGTTTGATATCTCAAATTTAAACTTGTTTATCTAATCAAGCTGACATATGAAATTCAATGGAAAAGAAAAAAGAAGGATGCCATCAAGTAAAGAACAGAGATACCTTCAGAACGAAACACTGATTCAAGATCCCTTGTTTTGACTCTTTTTTGTTCAAATTCGGATCTTTCTTCCACTTCCGGGCGAGCCCTCTTCTCTCCCACCAAAACCTGAAAAATTTACAGCCCAAAAACGTTTCTTTAATTTTTTTTTTTTTAAAGAAAGAAAGAAAGAATACACAAGAGGTCAAAAACCCAAAAAAATTGTAGAAGTGTAATGTCACGAACCTTCAATTCAGATCTAGGGACTCCCAAGGATTTATCAAAAACCCCACTTTCGTCCTCCATTAATCAAGCGGTCGCAAAAAAAATTCAAGATTTTCAGCTCTGACCCCGGACCAAACCCCAAAAGCCCAAATCAAAACCCAAGACGAAAAATCTTGATGAGGGTCGAAAACAAACATGAAAAAGAATTGACTCTGTAGAATCGGTTCCTTCTGAATTAGGATTCTATTGCAGTAAGTAACTGAGGAACGAAGAAATCAATCAATCAGTACATTACATTGGGGATAAAGAAGAGAGCGAAGAAGAAATGGACCAATAGTGTCGTCGTTATATTTTTTTTGGGGTTGGGGGGGGGGGGGGAGAGCGGAGACGGGTCGAGAGTTTTTGGATTTGAAATTGAAGAAGAGGCGCGCTGACACACAGGCAAAGCGTTTATTTCGGTTGGGAGAAAAGATGGAATCTTTGCATTTGCAACCTTTTGTTTTGTTTGATGTATGTTTGCTGACACTATACATAGGACTTGGGAGTAAGAAAGAGTACTAGAAAGTGTCAGCTAAGCAACGTTTTGGGTCATAAGTAACTCATGAGAGACGACGACGGCCTAATGGGCTGCTGCTACGGCTTTTGGTTTATTATTTTGTAGTGTAGTGTAGTGGAGTATTTCCTTCTTCAAATTCAAATATTGGAGCCACTGCCACATAGGGTTCAGCGGACGCAAAAGACACACTATTGCCGCCTTTTCCTGGCTCATGGGGCCATTCATGTCAACTTCCGATTTTGTACCGTTACTTAAACATATCTCTCGCTTTTGGATGGTACATTGGTAGTTTGGTACCAGTCTATTTGTTAATTTTTAATTATTTGCATTTTTTTTAAAAAAAATTCTCTCAAATAATAGTATTATCCAAAGTACAAACACACACTTACTATTAATTTTAAATTTTCCTACCTTTCCTTCCCTCGCTCTTATCTTTCCTACTATGAAGAACCTTTTCCTAACGAAACTCCTCTATTGCTATTTTAATATTAATAGCATTAAACACCCTTAACGTTTTAGAGTGATTTGCATTTTGCCTCTTAACTTTTTGTGTTTTGAAGCATTTTGTCCTTTCTTTCGGTCAAAGTGATAATTGATTGTATAATAGTGATTGATTATTAAAAGGGCTGATTAGAGTATATATCATATTATCTTTAATTTATCTCCTAATCTTTCGTTTATGTCACTTCATTCATTCCGATGAGAACAAAATTATGCCTTTAGTATTTTGATTTTTTTATTGTTCTTTTTTTTTTTCCCCTTTCTTCTCTTGTTTTCTCGTCTCCTGTTTTCTTCACTCGAGTCCCAAAGCTCTAACTACACTGCATCATAAATATCCCCTTATTGTAATTATCCAGAAAAAAAAAGGAAGAATTGAATTTTCAGGAAGAGTATTTATAAACAAAAAAATAATAATAATCAAGAACTAATAGCACAAACTTTGACAATCCTGCTGCACTATACGCTGGTGACCCCGGGTATCGGCAACCTATCAAACCCAACTTTGTCTATGCGTGCCTGTGTATTCTTTTTTTCTTGGTCAATGATAGCAAAGTGAGATGAAGATGGGTTTGATGGTTATAGAGTGGGCTAGGGAGAAGGAATAAGGAAGAAAATGGCAGATTGGATGAAAAAAAAAACACATATAAGGTCTACTCTATAGTCCTCAATTTATTGAGTTGAGTTTTGAGAATTGAAATTTTTGAGAATCTCCCGTTTGGTATGTTTTTTTAAACAAGATGTCTACCGATAAGATATTGGGCTTGTGAAAGAAGGAACGAGAAAAGAAACAACAAGGAGAAAAAGAAGATAATGAAGGGGAAAACAAAAAGGGTAGTGAGAAGAAAATGAAAAAACAGAGGTTAGAATAATGAAGGGGTAATTTGGTTTGAAAGGGGGTAAAATGACACAAACCAAAGATTAAGGATTAAAGTATGAATTAAAGTACACCATAAGGGGGAATATGGCATTGCAAGCTTTTACCATACACAAAATAAAGATATTCAATTTGTTTTCTGTCATAGGAAGCAAATGGCAAATCTTACATATATAAAGTGTCAATAGGCTTGTGAACAGTGCCTGGTGGACCGGTTATGCCGTGATTTGTGTGAGCTTGAGGGGCGTTTTGGTCTTTTGCTGATGGGTGGCATTGGTTTTTCTGGAATTTTATGATTCTTGGTTGCATGATTTCTTGGTTGCATGATATTGGGGCAGCTTGGCGACACGTTGATGCAGACAAGGCTTGGTCTCTTGCCATGCGGGCTCCGGTTCTGCTTGGTTTTTTGGAAGTTAATAATTTCTGCTGGTTAGTGGGCGGTGGGCGGTCAGTAGTTTTCTTTCTTCTCTTTTAGCTATCTTCTTCTTCTTAGTTTTCTTTGGCAGCTTCAGAAATGACTTGAAAAATTTTCTTTTGCTTTTGAAGTGATTCACTGTTTAGTTGGCTTTGCTGGAACCTTTCTTCTCTTTTAGCTTTCTTCTTCTTTTTAGTTTTCGTTGGTAGCTTCAGAAATGACTTGAAAAGTTTTCTTTTGCTTTTCAAGTAATTCGCTGTTTAATTAGCTTTCTTGGAAATTCGCTTCTGTCGGTGTGGTCCTCTTGTATAATTCACTTCAGACGTGTGTTTGGTTTCCCAATCTCTTGTATAATTGTAGTTGCTTTGGCTGCATTGGTGAGTAGGTGGTGGATAGTGTCCGCAGCAGTCTCTGGTTTTGCAGGGTGATGTCTTTACTTTCTCACCTAATTGATCTTCTGAGCAAGCTGTGTTTGGTGGGCCGGTTATACTGTGATTTTTGTGAACTTGAGCTGTGTTTTGGCCTTTTGGCATTGGACGGCAATGGTTTGATGGAAATTCACTTCTGTCCGCGTGGGCTTCTTGGATGGGAACATTTTGGCGGTCAGCAATTTCCTCTCATTCTGTTCTTGGTTCTGTGCTGAATCCAGTGCGCACCGCTTCAGAGTTTTGGGAGCTGTTACTTTTTCTTTTCTTCGCCTTCTTTACCAGGAGTGTTTTTCCTGTTCCTCATTCTTCTTCTTAGCTTTTCTCTGGCCAGTGTTTTTTCCTTCCCTTGTTTTCCTATTACCAGGTCCTACCTACCTGACGCATAGCGTCAGGGCAGAATACCTAGTAAATACAAATGTGTAGAGGCAGATATTTGTTCAAGTCACGTCTTTTTGTGCAACTATACTGATATTCCTGTTTTTAATATGGCAAATACCCAGTGAATTTTAGACTTTGATCGGTCTAAAACAACTGAACTTTATTCAATAACAATAACAACAGAAATTACAGAAACTCAAAGGGGTGTGTTTAGAGCTATTAATTATTGAAACACAAAACAAATCCAGAAACCCGACTGTCCACCCCTGGATTGAGACAAAGTAGCAAGCACAAGCCAATTCACTGACCAGATTAAGATTTTAATCACCAACAAGTTCCTTAACTTAAAGTTTTCCGCTCAAGTTTCAGAATTTATGAGATAATTGGATATGTTGTGGCAGGCAAACGTGGGCTGGCATGTGCATGCAGCGGTTTGGCCATTTCGAATTCATTGGGTGCTTCAGAGAGATCGATCTTTCCTTCATTTTCCGGCACACTCCAAGCAAATCCTTGCAAAATCCTTCCCAATGCTATCACGCTTAACGCAGTTCCCAGTGCAATCCCTGGACAAGCTCGTTTACCTGAACTGAAGGTAACCAACCTTAGCTCTGGCTCCATCAGCTCTATTTTACTTGATTTATCGTCATTGAAGTAACGTTCGGGCTTAAACTCCAGGGGCTCCTGCCACACTTTAGGATTCCGACCAAGTCCTCGGCGGCCCAACAGGATGTGGCTGCCTTTGGGAATGAAGTAACCACCAACGACTATGTTCGACATGGAAACGTGAGGCAAGTTAAAGGGTGTAATGGGGTGGAGTCTCAAAGACTCTTTTACGCATGCCTTGATGTAGTTTAATTGCGGAATATCGGATTCTTGAACCAGTCTTCCTTTTCCCACCACCCTGTCAACCTCATCTACGGCCTTCTGTTGAATCTCCGGTTTGTTGATCATTTGTGCCACAGCCCACTCTAGCGAAGTCGTCGGACTATCCACCCCGAAGAACAGCTCCTGCAATGTCACCTCAAGCAAAACATAAGCAAAAAAATTTGATGACATTTTTCCCCCGTTGGGTGGCCTGGGGGAGTGGTGGTTGGGATTTACATCAAAATTGTTGGTGCTCTGTCATCGTTCCACTACAGTCCCATTCAGTAATCAATCAAAAAAAATTATTGCAGGCAGAACAAGCGAAAATGAGTTGATTATGGATATTTTGTCATGGAGTGATGTGATGTCCACTTTAGCAATCAAAACTCGCATCATATCATATGACGACGTCCCTTAGCCATTTTAGGTTTTCCGACAAGTTAGGTAGATCAGTTTGTATTACTCCATTTCCTTTTCTGGTGCACCATTTCCAAAAGTATCGTATTCTTTGTCCTGGCACTAACTGATTCCAAACTTGTCAGACGATTTGTCAATCATTTCCTTCCGAGCCAACGTGTTTCGTTCGATCGGTATTGTAATAAAAGATATTTTTGATGACTTCACCACTAAAAACAGGAGGAATATGGTGTATTTAGATAGGCATAATTATTTCTACAAAAGTTATTTACCTGCATTACAAATATATTTTTCAAGTATTTTTTGATTTTTTCAATCACATTTTAAAAAGTGTCACAGTAATTATTCTAAATAATATTTCAAATAAACTCCTATCCAAATACTCTATGGCTTACATAATACTTGCGTTAAAGATGAAAAAGGTCTTTACGTTTTGTTCTCTTGTTGACCAGAAAATGGTTCAGATTCAAATTGAATGCATATCCTATTAAGGTTTTCTAAACCATAGGACTTACATAATACTCTATATATGGCTTTTTCTATATGGTGTGATACACTCCATGCAAACTAGAAGAGGAAGTTGAATTCGCTATTAATACTTTAAAAATACACTATTCACCTTTGAATTGCAAGACTTTTGTGAAAGAAATTTATACTTCAAGGATTAACTAACAACGTGCCTATTTTTTACTCGGGTACCAAATTTAATAGATAAATCTTTCATGTTAGTGTAGAGATTTTTTTTTTTATACTAACAAATCTAAATGCATGTCACGTGGGTAAAAATTGAATTTCAAATTCAAATAAAGATTGTATGACATTCATCTATACGTGCTAGTGTAGAATTTTTTCTTACGCTAAAAGTGTACAAAAGATCAATCCCTAATATAAATCTTAAAAGTTTATTTTATTATATGGGTATATAGCAATTAATGACGATCTGCTATGCATAGTTTTATACCACTATCGTGTATACACTATATCATTTATTTCGTTATTTGCCTATAAAGAGTATCTTAGGTATATACAATTTTTAGGGTAAAGTTTTTCTGTTTTAGAATTGTAGATCCATGTCGTAGTTGGACGGAATAACTAACTATAAAGGGGACTATAGGTGCCTCCGGGGCTGTAATAGAGAATTAGGATCGATGTAGGCATCTAACTAGAATTGAGCAATTGACTAAACACTAGAGCGGATCTTCCTCTAAACTTAAACAGGCGAAAAGTTTGTTTGATTTACCATATTAGTACAGTGCATAATATTAGATCCGTAAATTTTTATTTTTATTTTTACTTTATTCGCATTTCCAATTTTAATTTATCGTCCTCCCTATCAATGCCAACTCCTTAATCCACGTGATACGACTAGTTAGCCAAATTAAATTCTTAGAAACCGCAAATATATCTATATATATATAGAGAGAGAGAGAGAGAGATTTCGAAAGAAGTTGTACTCACAATCAGCCACGGATTTAAGGGGGGGCTGGTGAGGGCTTAAGCCCCCCCCAAGCCGCCGGAAAACCCCCTATATATAGTTACGAATTTAATATAAATATATTAATAAACATATTTGGTGCTGATTTCACCGTCTCTGGTGCTGATGAAATCCTCAAGGCTCTCTAATAAATTCCTTTGGATGTAGCTTATTATTCTGAAGTTTGAGCTTTCAGCCTAAAACTAGTGCTTTAGTATACAACGGGCGCTTTGTGCTTAAATATTTTGAAGATGTGTTTTATAATGTATTGTCTAATAAAAAAGAGAGCTGTTCTGACTTGAGTAGAGGACGGCTCTCGTGTTTACAGGTTCCTTAATTAATTAGCCACATCTTTGACCCATTTTGTTGTTCAAAGCTGGACTCAAGCAAAGTTGATCAGAGAGAGTTGAGCAAAGTATATCTAAAAACGTTGAAGTAAAAAAAAAGATAATATCATTATATATATAATTATGTATATATATATTTTTTTTTTGTTTCAAACGAGTGACGGGGCGGGGGTTGGGGACGGGTGCCCGCCGGTCACCCGCCCCATTGCCATCCCTAGTGATATATTCTCTTATTGATAGATTGATTAGATTTGTTCTTACTCTTCCTGTATTAACTGCAACTACAGAGTGGGTATTTTCAATTATGAAAATAATCAAGACAAAGCTCCAAAACAAGATGGAAGATAATTTCTTGAATGATTTGTCTAACTGTGTATATAGAAAAGGAAGTTGCTGAAAATTTTAGCAGTGAGTCAATCATAAATGAATTTAGTTCTATGAAAGAGCGTAGAGCTCAATTTACTTCAAAAAAAAGATGTTGAAATTTCAAAGTATGTTAACATAACTTTTATCTTTTTTCAATTGAAAATAGTTACATTTATATTACATGGTTATATATATATATATATATATATATATATATATATATTGCATAGGTGACATGTTGGAGAGCATCTTCTCATAATGTGCAAATTGGATGGTTTGTGATGTTATAAGATATTTAATCAAATGTTATCTTTTTTGTTAATTTTTGTTATGACTGTACCGCATATTTATGAATAGACATACCTTTATAATTTAATTTAATATTTGATATTTTTAGATGTCATATATTTAAATAGAAGAAAATTATTTTGAACATAATATATTAAGATAATTTGATTAGGAAAAAATTTTGGCCCCCCCCAAAAAAAATCCTGGCTCCGTCACTGCTCACAATGCATTGTGCTTTGATCTCTTCTTCTGATAATAATGGCTTCCCTGTTGCATCCTTAAGCGATATCATAACATCTAGTAAATCTTGTGGCTCTTGTTTCTCTCCATTGATTCTGCGTTTCGTAATCCTTTCCTCTATGATTGGGTCATGGTACTTGTTCATAACTCCTAAAGCCTCCTTCACAATTTTCTCGTGATTGTCTATATCCAGCACCCTCAACCAAGGCAAATAATCGGATGCACAGAATGCATAGAGGTGCCGAAGAATTGTGAAGATTGCTTTGACATGCTCTTTTTCTTCTTCACCTGGACCTCCATCTTTCCCACCTTCCCCGAAGTATCTTGTGTTGAAAACAACCTTCCTAACAACATTTATAGCATAATGACGGAGGGCTGTTCTGACATCAACGACAGCGCCATCTCTGCCAGAACTCTTGCACTGATTAAGAATGAAAGACACGTAGTTATCTGCTTCTTGGTTCCTTTTCTCGATTAACCACCTATGTCTCGCGGGGGTCATCAACTCACTTGTGTACATTTTTCTCATTTTCTTCCACTGAGGACCCCATGGAGAAACAGCCATGCTCAGGAAGCCACGGCTGGAGAGTTCAGTAGCCATGGTGAAGGGTCTGGAGGCCAGTTGGTCATCATGATTGTGCAAGAATTCCCGAGCTACCTGGGGTGAATTCACCACGATGACATGGACGCTGCCTAAACGGAAGCATGCAACGTCGGTATTGAGTTTTTTCATTATGCCATCGATCCAATAAAACGGTGGCTTGTTCTTGTAGAGCTCAGGGATGTTGCCTACGATAGGCCATGGTGATGGGCCAGGGGGAAGTTTTGGACCAAGCCTGCTTTTCTTCAAGGAATTATATCCCCATTTGATGATGATAAAGAGGAGGATAAAAGCAAGGATTAGGGAAGGCTCGACAGGCATTGCCATATCGGCAAAGGTTGCAAGTATTACACAAGTGCTAGGCTAAGCTTTTGAAGTTCAGTGGAAGTGCCAGTACATGCTCCTTATATACACGGTTTTGGCCGAGCTTCAATTATTGGATCTGGCGAAGGTGACATTAGGTAAAATTAGATACAGAACAGAATTATCCTATGGTAACAGTGGGGTGCACTAGGCATGGAAAAATGTTGCGTATTGTATAAGAGTTTAAACATCCTTGTTACTACCATGTAATTTTATAACAGGATTTTAATAACATCACACACGTTACAACTTTATTCTTTTTTCAAAGAAAAAAGGTTCTTTTTTTAGCAAGGGAATGATAGAATTTAAGAAACGGATAATACAGACTAAACTCTTCTCTATTACATTGGAGAGAATTTCTATCCATTACGTAGGAGTGTGCAAAATCAAAAATTTTCGATTTATCGATTGAATTCAGAATTTTTAAAATCAGTAATTCGGAATTCGAAACTGAAATCAGGTTTTCTGATTTCGAATTATGCGAATTTGGTTTGAATTCGGTAATGGGATTTTTCAAATCGGAAATCCCGATTTCACAATTCGAAATTGAAATCGAAATCAGAAATCGGAATCCTATTTCAATTTCAAATTCGTTTTTCATATATATATAATTTTATATATCTATGTAATATAACATTTATATTACATAATAATTTTTATATTCTTTAATTTGGTAATTCGAAATTCCTATTTTGATTTCAAATTCATTTTTCATGTATATATATATGTATAATAATTTTTTAATATATATGTAATATAACATTTGTATAATAATAATAATTTTTATATTCCTGAATTCGGTGAAATCGGAATTTACCGAATTCCGAATTGAATTTGGAACGAATTTGAATTTGGAGTTGGTGGATTCAAAATCGAATTAGGTCGGAAATTATGATACCAAAATTGCGAAAAATTTTTGATTTTAAAGTTCCGATTTCGATTCCAATTCACACCCCTACTATTACACTATATCAAAATTAATTTAGGAATTGTTTTCAAAAATCAACACCATTAACAATATATTTTATTACTTATGTTAGTTTTACATAAAATTTTGATGTAAAATTGACTAAGTTTTGCAGTCTAATTAATCATCACAATTTTTTACAATTTTGATCTACTTTTCACCATTCAAAAACTAGGTATAAATTGAATGCCAAAATATTTATAAAACAATTTCATTTTTTTTAGTATGTTGATCTAGAGATCAAAAGAAAAGTAGCGAGATAATCAGATAATTTTATAATATTATAGCAATTATATATATACACATACATACATACATACATATATATATATATACATATACATACATAAACTTTGTATGTTTTGCTTTGGATAAGTACTCGAAAAAGTATCTAAACTTTAGGAATGAAAATATCTAAAATTTAGGGTAAAGTAATAGGATAACAATAGACTTAGAATTTTAGTGGCTAAGAGTGGTTTCTTGTTGTCCTTTAAAATAATTATAATTGGCAGCATAGAATCTGAATTTGGAGTATTGATTATGACTTTGCATAAGTTGTTAAATTACAAGGGTTTTTTTTTTTTTTTGGTATTTTGTGTTCTTACGGCAAAGGACACGATATACTCTTAATTTTAAATATCATTATCCACTCCTAAATTGAGAAAATTTTTGTGAAGTGATTTAAACTTTTGCATACCGGATTCACCTTTTATAGAAAGAACACAAATTAGAATAACGAGTTCATGAAAGATGGTGAAAAGACATTGCACGGGGCACGGGGGAACCAACGGATATTGGTGCAAGTGGAAGGGACTTGTATCCCTTAACTATGAGGTCTCGGATTCGAAACCCATGGGAATGGAAAAACAAATGTTGGGAGAGCTTCCCCCTGCAAGGGGCCCGGCCCGGCTCGAACGGATACGGACCTCTGTAGATTATACCTAAAAAAAACGGGGGACAGGATTCTACAAGAGTTTGTATCATAAATACCAATCTGAAAGTTTTATAATAAATCTTATATATAATGACAGTGTATACATAGTCACGGTTAAATGCATTACATATGAACAAATTTTGGAATTCAAATTTAAATTCAGATGAGTTGTCATATATCTAATGTTGATAGTGTATACACTATTAATGTATAAATGATTAATCCAAAATTTTAATGTCTCTGAAGTAAACGTTGGAGACGTGCACGAAATTGGATTTGAAAAGAAATACATGAAAGACATTTTTTTTCTCATTTTGCCACAGACAAGTTTCGATTTGTGGCTGACAATCATTTTAGTGGTTGGATCATATTGAGGTAAAACCTCAATAGATCATTCATAAGTCGATGTCTAAAACGAGAAAATCCAAAGTCTACGTAATAAAACGTTTTATTGATGTGGCATGTTTGAATTGATAATTGAACTCAACAATGAAGAAGTCAAGGGGAGCTGATGGGCCATGGCCCTCCTAAATTTTGAAAATTTTAATTTATAGTGTGTAAATGTATATGTAAAATAAAGTTGGCCTTCTTAATTTTTTACAAATTTAGTTTATAGTATGAGAGTTTTTATGTACACACACATACACACGAATTAGCCACCTTTGAATTAATTTTTTTCCAACAAAAATTTAATTATTTTTTACATACATTTATAATTAAAGTTAATATTTGATATTTTTAGATGTTATATTTTTAAATATGTGAAAATTATTTTAAACATAACATATTAAAATAATTTCGTTAGTAAAAATTTTAACCCCCAGAGAAAAAATCCTGGCTCTGTCACTGGAACTCAAACCTTCCGCTGACATGCATTTTTACTGGTTGGATCATATTAACCTCACTAGAATATCTACAACTGCATACATCTAAAACGAGAAAGTCCTGCATAATAAAATCACGAGTAGAAAGTAAACGGGGCAAACGAATCTTCATTCCAATAATGTATACTTAATCCCTAAGATCAAATGAATCAGGGCTGATTTTTAAGCTTTTTATGCATCTAAGAGTAGTTCAACCTCATTATCAAAAAAAAAAAAAAAAGAGTAGCTCAAGCTCATCTTTGGGTATCAGCGCCCCGACCGTGTTGTAACTATTGTAATAGTACTATGTTGTACTTGTACCACTATTACTTGCCTAGAATAATTTGTTTTTCCCCTTACCAGAAAAAAAGATTTAATAGCCAAAAGCCAACAGCCATTTAATTTAATCTGTTGGTCACCACCAAAACTTTAAATCTTAATTGTGGGTAGGAGGTTAAGCGTTCAAATCTTGCCTCCCAATAATTATTTGTGGCTTGCCACTATTGTTGCTGCCTCCCATAGGCTAAGGTCACTCTCCCCATATAATAGAATATAGTAGGAACTATTTGTGGCTTGCCACTTTTGTTGCTGCCTCCCATAGGCTCTAGGGTCATCCTCCCCCTATAATATAATAGAGTAGGTTATACAAATCTTATCGTTATTAAAAAAAATAAAGATTTAATATTTAGTTTTTTCTTGCCCAACACAAATATGTTTTCATAATTCCATCTCTCATGCTAACAGCCAACGATCTTTAAGGTGCTCAAGCTCAGCACTCTGACCCAACAATAAGTGGGCATTTTTGAGAAGGCATTATTAATAAATCATAAACTTTACCTGTAATGAGGTGGGCTTTTTCCCGGCGGGATTGTCAAAATGTAATGTAAGGGGTCAGCTTGTTTAAGCGAAGTACAATACTTATACAAAAAAAAAAAAAAAAAGAGAGTAAAAAATAGCCGTGCAAACATTCAATTGTTGGATGAGTATTTTATGGAAGTGGTAATTTGAAAGTTCAACTGTTGCAGAGAAATAGAGTAATTGTAGAGAAGTGGAGCACTTAAAGATTGATGAATTAATCAACCAGAAAAATGCAGAGGAGCATCTATGGCTCTGTTTGGATCCTGTTGTTTTTTAAAAACTAGTTTTACAAATACTGTAAAGGTACTCTAAAGGATACTCTAAAAAGTAGTCTAAATTTTTTTAAATATTTAGAAAATATCCCAAAATATATTTTAAAAACTCTACTACTCTTAAATATTGTCTAAAAATATCCCAAAATATACTTCTAAAACTCTACTACATAGTATTTGAAAAATCCCTCGTCTGTTAAATTTTTTATTTAAAAAAAAAAGGAACTTCTCAAGGTCAAAATCACAGGGGGCATATAATACGAGGATTGTTTTGGGCTATCGAGGAACACTAGTATTAGGTTGGGCTGAATACATAGAACTTTTGCGAGTAAAAATTTGGGCTTTCTGTTATTTGAGAATCCTTGTTTTCGTTTTTACCCAAAAAGAAGTGCCCTAATTGCTGTTAATATGAGATCCGTCCAAAAGCAATAGAAACAAAAGACAAATGAATCACGTGGTTGCGGTAATTCTCAATGACATGTCCAGGTTTTGGAATGGGCCAGCGACCAAAAAAGGATTGCTTATATGGTGAAACAGCCCACACCATGTGGCTGGAGAACTTGGTACCTTTTTTTATTTTTTATTTTTATGTGCGGTATCTTTTTCTTTTCTATTTTTTTTTCGTTTTAAAATTACGGACGGGAACAATAGGTAAGAATTAGAAAGGTCAATGAAAAAATGCAGGCAGGAGCACGAGTACGAAGGAAAGAAAAGGCTAAAATTAAATGAGTCTCTCCACAGTAGGGATGTAATCAAATCGAACTGCTCGCGAGCTACGATCAAAAGCTTAAGTCGAACTCGGTTTGTCAGTAGGGATGTAATCAAACCGAACTGCTCGCGAGCTACGGTCAAAAGCTTAACTCGAACTCAGTCAAACCGAGTTCGAGTATCCAGAAGCAATGCTCGAAGGTTCGACGAGCCTTATCGAGCATTTTAATTTTAATTATTTAATATATTATTATTATAAAATTACCCTTATATCCAAAAGAATTGTCGAATTTACGAAATGTTTCAAATCATATAAAAATTTTAAAAGGGCAATAATGTCTTTTCACTCAAAAATTATCAAG